GACTGATCTGGTGGTTCTAAACTCTCTTAGCTTTAGTTTGTTTAGGAAGATCTTTGCCTGTCCCTTGTATCTTAAGAATAGCTTTGATGGGCACAGTATTATTTGCTGGCAATTTTTTTTCTTCAGTGCTATGACAGTCTTATCCATGCCCTCCTCCCTAGAAGATTTCTGCAGTAAAGTCTGTAGTAAGGCAAATTAGGATCCCTTTCTGTGTTATTTGTTTCTTTTCTCTTGCAGCTTTCAGAATCCTCTCCTTTTCTTTAGCCTTAGATAGCTTGATTATAATGTATCTTGGGGTAGATTTGGTTGAATTAAGTCTGACTGGTGATCTTTGACTTTCTTGTAGCTAGATAGCTGTATCTTTCTCTGGCTTTGAGGAGTTTTCAATATGCTTTTTCCATTTTGGCATTCTCAAGTCACTGTAGAACCCCAGTAACATAGATAAAATTCTCTCTTTCCATGCTGTCCCAAAGATCTCATAAGCCACCTTCTTCATTCCATTTGATTCTTTTTTTCTCCTCCAACCATGTACTTTCAAACTGCCTGTCTGAAAATACACTTATTCTTCTATTTGACCTATTCTGCTACTGATGCTTTCTATCATATTTTTAATTTTGCTTAGTGTACTTTTCAGTTAAAGATTTTCTATTTGATTTATTTTTTAATTGCTTCCATATCTCTGTCAAGTCTCTGTTAGAGTAGTAAGTATTTTCTCTGGGTTCTTTTGAAGTTTGATGAGTTTCCTTAAAACAGTTACTTTGAAATCTCCATCTGAACATTTGAAAATTTCAATTCCTAGACAGTTTCTGTCACCTTACTTTGTTCATTAGATAAGGTCACGATTGCCTGGAAGTTCTTGTCACTTTTTGGTATACAACATCATCTCTCATTGAAGGATCAGTTATAGTAATCTGGTTTTGTTCAGGGATGTTCTTCCAAAAATTCTAGGCAGTCTGTTTATTTGCCCTGAGTTTTATGAACACTTCTGATGTTTCAACACTAGATGGCACCCTTAGTAGAGGTTTGTTTCAGGTCTGCTGCATACTTTCTTTTCTTTTTCATTCCTACAGTGCTTCTCAAGATCAGATTTTTACCAAATCTGAAGTTGATATGTTCTTCATAATGAACTGGGGAAGTACCTAAAAGGGGTAGTATATCCCTACAAGCCTCTTCTTGGGGCTGCCTGTGACACTTCCATCAGCCACTAGTCATGCTGTCTAGACTATAAGACTGATCGGCTGGGGCCATGGAACTCTATTTTGCACTGTAGTGGGTCCAGAGATTCCATCTGAAGGCAGTGGCCTGAGTACAAGGATAATTAGGATCTGCCAGTATTGTGTTTTACAAGCCTTGCACTGAGTCCCAAAACAGTTTTGTGGTTTCTAAAAAGTCTGCCTACAGTTGCAGGAGTGTACTTCAGCTGACTGGGTAGTCACTAGACCCAGTGAAATCATGGGAGTCCCACCAGGCAGTTTTCTATCTGATACTGGGGCAAGAATACAGACTCTATCCCCTGTCAGTGTTGGGCTTACCGACCTAGCAATGAATCCAAAGATATGGGTCCAGTTGTTTCTTATTGTCTGTCCAAGGTTGGAGGCAGGTGATAAAGGCAGTCCCTTGTCCATAGAGACTAACACTAGGCTGTGTCACGTGTGGTTTTTACAGCCCCTGGGCCCTACACAGTCTCAGGGCTATAGGCCAGGCCTACTTGAGGCCACGTATAATACAGCAGAAAAGCATCCATCTAATGGAGCACAGATCTCCATCTGATGCCAATGCTAGTCTACTGAATCCATCTCCAAGCAAATACCTGGAAGTAGAGGACTTCGGGCTTTATCAGATGCTTGGTCATAAGGCAGGGGGCCCAGCTCTGAACTCCAAGGCAAACTCCTGAGCTCTTTCTCCTGTTCTACTCTGCATCAGCTTGAGTATTGTTCTGCTTTTTTCCCAGAGGCAACCTGGCTATTAAGGGTCCAAATACTCAGCCTGAAGATACAGGGGTAGGGGCTGCCGGGCCCTGTCCAATTTTAATGAGCCTAGCACTTGCATTTAAGGCTAAAGAGTTAACTTAATCCCCCTTCCAATCCCTCAAGTGAGAGACATGTATTCCCACTGTGTGCTACATGGATCCAGGGGTAGAGTCATGTGAGCAACCCCATCCTACTTTCTTCAATGCAACTTTTCTTATTATTATACTAAAAGCAAGTACTGTGGTCTCTCACATGTTTTCCGTAGCTCTTGTTAAGGTAACACAGTGGATGAGTAACTGTTCAAATGGATGCCTGTGTGGGGAGGTGGTAATTGAAGCATCTTATTGAACTAACATCTTGTTCTACCTGCCTAAGAAACAAATTTAAACCAAAATAACATTTATAATTACCACATATAGAATGAAATATTTAGATATAAATTCAACAAAACATATAAGTATGTTGAAAACTATAGGCCGGCGCCGCGGCTCACTAGGCTAATCCTCCACCTAGTGGCGCCGGCACACCGGGTTCTAGTCCCAGTCGGGGCACTGAATTCTTTCCCGGTTGCCCCTCTTCCAGGCCAGCTCTCTGCTGTGGCCTGGGAAGGCAGTGGAGGATGGCCCAAGTGCTTGGGCCCTGCACCTGCATAGGAGACCAGGAGAAGCACCTGGCTCCTGGTTTCGGATCAGCGCGATGTGCACCGGCCACGGCGGCCATTGGAGGATGAACCAACGGCAAAGGAAGACCTTTCTCTCTGTCTCTCTCTCTCACTATCCACTCTGCT